TTATTTATTTTGGCAAAGCAGATGTTATTGTACTTATGAATGATTTCCATTACCTGTTTTATTTCCATTTTATTTACATTGGGGTTATGGTAAGCAATGGTGGCATCTGGCAGATCTTTGAGACCATTGTTAAATGTCAACGTTGCGTAAATGAGTTACATTTTACCAACAGCCCTCTGTAAGGTAAACATTTATAAAAAAATATATTTTTAAATGCACAAATCTGCTTTAAATACAACAAACCTAAAGTGAATATTTATCTAAAGCACAACTGTTAGACTACATTTGAGTTGAATGCAGTTGAAGGGCAGACAGCCGGCTGCAACTTGAATGTTACCGGCTGCCTTTTTTCACTCATGCTGTTCTTTGACAATGTTGTTGAGCCAGTTTATCAAGTTGGATACATTAAATCTGGTGCTCTCGTAGGAACTTGTTGTTAGTTTTCACATTTTTAGAGCCAGATTCACACTGCAGGATTTTAAACCCAATTTTACTCTGTAGAAAAATGTTGGCAGTTTCAGACAAATGACCCAAATGTGAGGGAAGACTGAAGTTAGATTTGCAGTCACTAATGTGTAAATACTTTATGAACCTCAAAAGGGGAGACACGCCAGCCAAGTTATCTAACATGCTTGATCATTTGAGAATAAAAAGGGTGTTTGGAGTTGTTCATTTACCGTACATGTCAACTACCAGTGATTAAAGTTCAAGCAGTAGGGTGAGGAGGAGCCGTAGATATGAGAAACTGGTAAGAGCAATAAAACAGATAAACATACAAAACATGACACTTTGAAGAATGTATGTTCTTCTTAGAAGCAGGAAGTTTTCAGGATTTAATATAACAAAAATATATATATATATATGAGAATTCATAAATCCTCTAAAAACTGGAGGGAAATAAAAATGTAACCAAATGTAATTTTTTGATTTTATTGTTAATTTCTTATGTCGGTGTTAAGAAACCTTTCTGCGTGATGTCTACAACGGTTTGATGTCGGATCTTTTAAGTAAGTTTGAGCTCAAGTCAGGCATGAATTAATTTTAATGTGCGACTCCCTCTCTCCCCAGCTGGTATTGTCTGGACCCACTGGTACTTTAAAGCTCTGGATCACAAGATATGTGAGCATAAATCAATGTGATGACACCAGAAACTTTTTGTCTTCTTCTCTTTCAGGTCCTCTCACATCAGATGTGATGCCAAATGGAAACGGACTAGCAGATGGATTCAGTACTGCAGGGGACACCCTTATAAATGGGCCCCTAACGCTGATAGTTCCTCCCCAGAGCACCAGCTCCCCCATCAGCTCTCAGACCCCAGAGTCCTCACCAGGTGTGGCTGCTTATCCGCCCATGGTACTAGAGAAGTCTGAGGAGGCTAGTGCTGAGGTCACGGTTCACAAGAGCGATGCTTTGCAGTCGCTCAGACTCAGTATGCCTATGCAGGAGACTGAACTGTGTAAGCATAAACTTCTGTGAAGTGAATGCCCCTTCTCTATCCCTTTGGCTTTAACCTGATTGTGCTGTGGAATGTTTTAGCTTGTTTACTTACCTTTTTCTAACTTTTGTCCATATTATCTGGACACAAGGATTCAGTGGGGCCCTGTTTAGTTGTATGTCTACCACCTTTCTAAAACTCCCCTGGTCATTTTGAGTGCTTGATTAATAAAATGTGTGTTTAATGTGAACATTTGCATGGAGTGATGATTGTTTTTGAACTAATCTCTGTGTTGGTAAAATGTTTTTTTGTTTAAAAATTACACATTTTACAGTTGGACACAGTTGCTATTGTGCATTTTGAAATATAGTATTCAGTCATGAAAACCTGTTTTTTCTTCAGTTTTCACTTCATAATAATCGCAGAGAATTTGTAACGCCACAAGCGAAGCCTAATGACCGACATGATTAAGTTAATTCTTGTTCAAATGCTTTAATGAGAGCCGTTATTCTGTTTGACTAAAGTCCTCTCCCTGCAGCCAACCAGAAGCCGTCGATGGAGATGGAAAATGAAGAAAAGATTCGCCTGGAGGCTCGCCGGCGTCTGGAGGAGCAACTCAAACAGTACAGGGTGCAGAGACACAAGGAGAGGGTGAGTGAGTGCTGCTGGTGACAACTTATGGATGGCTTTAATAGTTTAACAGTTTTCTAATTTTACATAATATCAAGTCTTTTGTTTCCTTTTAAAATCTGCTAAACCAGCCCTCGTTAGGGCTTTTGTCGAAAGCTACTGTTGATAAAATCATTGCTCATGGCCAATGTCATGTTGGAAAATATGATCTGAAGCAGGGCTCCCCGACCATTTTGGTACTGGATCACATAAAAAGAAAAAGTATTATTATTTCGATTATCCCCCGTTTGTCTGCATGGTATTTTATTTTGAAAATCAGTGCTTGCTTGACTCGGGTCTTTTTTTTTTTTTTTTGCACCAGTAAGCTCTCAAACTAATTTTAGCAAAAATGAGTAAAAAAAAAAACAAACGTCGCTGGAGAGCTTCTTTAAAAAGGAATAGGCCTGATGAAGAGACAGCTGTCACCAAAATAAAAGCAGCTTTGAAAAGAAAACGCCACAAGTCCTACAGGTTCGTCACAACAACCAGGCGAGTCGCACACGCTGAGCAAGCTCTGCGTGATATGTGGCAACCCGCTGTCCATCGAAGCCCTGAGACCTTCAGAGCTGCTGGAGACTGAGCCCCTTCATTAAAAGACTTTCTTGTTTTTTGAAAGAGAAAAATTAAATACAAAGATCAGAAACCATTATTAAGAACGTCACTTAATTAAATGTCTGCACTGAGAGCATCATATTTAGTGGATAACAGCATTGATAAAATGTTATATTAATTAAATCACTAAATGGAAATATAGGTGAAATTACAACATATAAAATTATAATTAATATATAGATGTTATAATTAAATGTGATGCACCTTATTGTTTTGTTATGCGCGTGAGCTCGCCTCACATTCACATCCCTGCAGCTGGTCTAATTGTCTTGCGTGAAACTGGTCTGTGGTTGGTGACCCCTGACCCAGAGTATTAAAATGTCAGCTGTTGTACAAAAATTATTTTAATTTCTGAACATTTTTTGTTTTGCCACTTTTTTCAGTCTCACCGCACCACTGCCAAAAACCGCCCCTTCAGTACTTTAGACCCAGAGCTCATGCTCCATCCTGAGGCCCTTCCCCGGGCTAACACTGTTGCCATGACCAAGGAGTATTCTTTCCTCAGGACCAGTGTTCCACGAGGCCCCAAACTGGGAAGCCTGGGAATTCCACCCTCCAAGGAGAAGAAGTCTAGATCACCTCGTCTGAATAAAATTCACTCTTTGGCCGACTATAAGACTCCAGAGAGTGATGGTGGAAGTGGAGAAGGTAGAGCCATGACAGCAGATAACACTGGGGGCTCCTTTCAGTCCACCATTAGCTCTGTGTCCACACTGTCAGAAGTCAGTGTCATGTCCGAGTCCAGCACAGATCTGAAGGCCGGGGCTTCTCTCCAAGTCAGTGACAACGTGTCAGAGCTCGATGGCAGCGATTCAGGAGTGAGGCCAGGGAATGATGGCAATGATAGTGACAGCTCTTCTTACAGCAGCGTCTCCACAAAGGGAAACTACAGGATGCTCTCAGCTGCTGTGGAAAGGCAGCAAGGGCCATACACCGTAGAGGGAAGAGAGATTGCCCCAGAGGCCATGGGTCAGTTCCCGTCTTTACAAGAGGTCCTTCAGGCAGCAAGTGAGGAGCAGCACCTGCTGGAGATGGAACAGGAGAGAGAAGGAACAGCAGAACCCCGAAGCCGCAGAGACAGTTTCTCCTCCAGGTATTTTTCTCTGTTTCAAGAAGGTTTGAATTCAGTAATGACATGGCGCCTATGAATTTTGTTAAACTGTATAATTTAATGCAGAACTTGTCAACTAATTTTCTATTTTTGAAATTCAGTGTCTCTTTGGAAAGTTCAGTGATGGGCCATGACGAGATGCTTCAGGTGCTGAAAGAGAAAATGAGACTCGAGGGTCAGTTGGAGTCTTTGTCATCTGAGGCCAGTCAGGTAATAAAACTAAGAGATCCTAATACTTAATTTATTTCTCTCACACACTGCATCTACAGCTACACCAAAAATCACAAAAAATACATTGAACCATCTTTCAAACAATGTTTAAGGAGAATCTGTTGTGGTGTATTTTTCACCCTATAAGTTGCATTTTTTTGCATAATTTGCATTGCACTGCGACTTATACACCAAAGCGACCTATTTATGGATTTTTCCCCCATATTTTTAAACTAATTTTTGGCTGAGATATGACTGTTTTCATTCTTTGACTGAAAATATTGAACACTATAATTTTCAGCCGCTAGATGGCAGCAGAGTAGGTTGGCATGCCGTTGTGTCATGTAATATGTACAAGTGACTATTAATGACACCTGCCACCTTCGTCTTGCTCGCTGCTTGGAGCAACCATCAAATCAGCTTCATTTTGCTGCGCCGCCCGCCGAAATGAAGCTGATTTGACCATTAAAGTGCATTTATTAAGTAAAAGTTCAACTGAGACACACCTTTACTATAATGTCGAGCAAACAAATAATTGCTTTAGATGCTTATCTTGTTATATTTTTGAAGAAATTCGCAGCGTTCCTCCTTTCTGATTTCCTCCATGTCTGTGCCCGGAGCACCGAGGCAGTGAATACTTTTAAAATGAAGCTGATTTGACCATTTAAGTTCTTTTTATTAAGTAAAAGTTCAACTGAGACACACCTTTACTACAAATTCAAGCAAACAAATTGTTTTTAGGTGTTTATCCTGTTAAATTTTGAAGAAATGCACAGCGACTCATCCCTCTGATACAACTGATTTGACCATCAAAGACCTTTTTATTAAGGAATTAAGGCCATTTGGCAGCCAATTGATTTTTGGCACAACACCGGCCCACATTTCCGGGTTGTCAGCGGTGACACGAAACAAATGCGACGCGTCAGTGGTGACGCATAATAGATGCAACGTATTTATGGATTTTTCCACTTTATTAGACATATTTGGACTGATGCAACTTATAGGGCGGTGCGACGTGTACGGTGGAAAATACAGTACACATTTTGATTCAAGGTGTTTTAGAACCACTTGGTGTTCTTTGACAAGTCATTTAAATGAATTATGACAGAGGTCAGAGCCACAGATGGACCATCACTCAAGCAATTTGCACCCATTCTCTTAAGCACACGAGTGATGGTGGCAGTTTTACTGACTTTTTTTTTTTTTTTTACCAGAAGGAAACCTCCCCTCAGAACCAGGCTCAGGATGGGCAGCCATCTGCCTCACCTGGCTGGGGTTAGAGAGAACAGAAAAGAGACACAAAAACAACACATGACAGGTCCAGGTGTACTTTCTATGAGAAGAAGAAACAAACACGTTAATGATGAAAATAATAAGAAATACAAACATGGAGAGTCGAGTGAGTAAAATCAGCAGCAGAGAGAGGAAATGTGGTCAGTTTGTCCTCTTGACAGTCTAAGCCTATAGCAGCATAACTATGGGATAATTTGAAACCAAAATCAATCTTAACTATAGGATTTATCAAAAAGGTAAGGTTTAGGCCAATTTTTGTTTTGTTTTACATAATCCAGTTCTGTTTTGTGTTTAATAAAATAAGAATAATGTTCTTAAATTTTTTTACATAATTTTAAAGACGTGCAAATAATCAGATAATTATGTTGTGAGATGTGAAACCTTAAAAATGAAATAAACTAATAATACATGTAGCTGAGTGTGTAGCTCAGTAACTGCTACCCATCAAGCTCACAGCACCCATGAAGCGCTATTACACTGGACACTCTAGGAAGGCTTGAGTAAGATGCTGTAACCACTTGTCTGTTCCTCTAGGCTCTTAAGGAGAAGACGGAGCTTCAGGCCCAGCTTGCTACAGTGAATGCTCAGCTGCAGGCTAAAAAAGAAGAGGCTCAAGCCAGCCAGGAGAAGCAAAGTGCTCTCACTACAGAGGTTGGCTCACTGCGGCAGACCTGCAGCCAGCTAGAAAAGGCCATGGTGGAGCTCCAGAGCAGTCTGGAGAGCAAGAATGCCAGTTTGACTTCTCTAAACAATGACCTGAAGGTTTCTGAAGACCAATACAACAGGTTGATGGTGAAAGTGGAGGAGCAGCAAAACTCTGTAACTTCGAGGGACATCACAGGTAAATAATGGAGAGTCGTGGGCATGTGTGTGTATATGTATGGTATGGTATAAAGTTTATTCATTTAAAAAAAGTACAAAACAATTCCATAACAATATAAAAAAGATACAAAAGATTTAAAATGAAAAACAGCAGAAAGAAGAAAAAATCTTATTATATCTGCCCCTTTTTTCAAACAATTATTTCAATCATAATAATTTTCAAGTAAAAGAACAAAATGAATAACTAATTGTTCTAATTCTAATATATTATATAATGTATTCTGTAGATGTGTGTGACTGTGTTTATAAACTGGATGCTTTTGTTCTCTCTTGCAGTTCACGAGTTACGTCAGCAGATGGGGGGTCTTCAGAGTCAGCTTCAGCAGGTGCAGTTGGAGCGCAGCACCCTGCAGAGCCGACTAAAGACCTCTCAGGCTGAGATCGACTCGCTCCAGCAGGTCAGACAGTGGTACCAGCAACAACTAGTTCTGGCCCAGGAGGCAAGAGTTCGACTGCAAAGTGAAATGTCTAACATGCAGGTAACAACTCTGCCTGTTCTATCAGTTTGAATACAAGTGTTCGGCACTGAACAAGCAGCACAAGGAGGCATCACAAGCGACTATGTTTACTTAGTTTTCTTTCTGTCAAAGGTTGGACAGATGAGTCAGATCGGCGTTATGGAACATTTGAAGCTGGAAAATGTGACTCTTTCTCATCAACTCACTGAGACCCAACACCGCTCCATCAAAGAAAAGGAGCGCATTGCTGTACAGCTGCAAAGCATTGAGGTATATTTTCTCATTGCAGTCGTTAGGTTTGTAAAAGCCAAAGTAAATGTAACTTTATTTTAATTCTCCTGGGGTTCCAGCATTGTGAGGAAAAAGGTTTTTAAAACATCTGGTTGTGAACTGTACATAAACATCTTGTTCCTGTCTGATGTAGGCAGACATGCTGACTCAAGAAGCTGCTTACAAGCAGATTCAGGATGCAAAGTCTATGGTGGAGGAGGATCTGCAGCATAAACTGGTGGAGTTTGAAGATGAGCGAGATCGCTTAATAAAATTGGCTAACACAGCCAGCACCCTGGAAAGGGAACTGGAGCAGGTAGTCAGACCAAACAGAACTTGTTTTCTTCCTGGAACGGGCTGCAAACTTAACTGTACTCTAGTTTAACTTCCTGTGACATTATTATTATTATTTCTTTCTTTCAGGTGAAGTTGACTCTTTACCAAAAGGACGTGCAACTGCAGGCACTTCAGAAAGAACATCTAGAGCTGATGCGCCAGCTGACAGCAACTCAGGAGAATCTACACACCAAAGAGCAGTCCATCAACCAGCTGGAGGCCCGATATCTGGAGCTGGAGGCCCAGTTGGCTGAGCTGCAGGCAGAAAGCTGCACCAAGGATGACAACATCCAGTACCTCCAGAATGAGAAGATAGTCCTGGAGGTTGCACTCCAAGCAGCCCGAGCTGAGAAGAGCCAACTAGATGAGAGCGCAGAGCGACTGGGAGAAGATGTGTTGGTGGCCTCAGATGTATTGGATCAGCTCCGACAAGAAGTCCAAGTCAAAGCCAGTCAGGTATGAGATTACAGACTCCACTGTTATTTTAACTCAAAGGTAGCTTAGTATAAAGTTTATCACAACCCGTGACAAAAAGCCTTCATATACTGGAAAAAGTTGCACTTCCTGTGAAAATGCAGTGCGAGTGCTTATTGCTGAATGATTTTGCTGAAAGCTGCTGAAGAAGCTGAAACTTAAGCAGTTCAATCACTGAACTGTCACCACTTGTTTAATATGAGCAGCTGAAAATGTAACTAAAAATAGTTGAATGAGTAGAGTAAACTGTTTGTTAGCGTTTCCACAACTCCATCCATTATCTTTTACCCGCTTCTTCCAATTTGGGTCACGGGTGTCGCCGGTGTCCATGTCCAGCAATCACTGTGTGAGGGGCGGGGTACACCCTGGACAGGTCTCTAGTCCATCACAGGGCCACATAGAGACAAACAATCATTCACTCTCTCTCTCACACCTAGGGACAATTTAGAGTTACTAATCAGTCGAACACATGTTTTTGATCTGTGGGAGGGAACTGGAGTACCCGGAGAAAACCCACGCATGAACAGAGAGAACATGCAAATTCCACCCAGAAAGGCCCCCCAGACTGGGATTTGAACCGGCAACCTTCTCACTGAGAGGCAACAGCTGTACCAGTTGCACCACCGTGCTGCGTTTCCGCAACTCATTCAACATAAAAAATTTAAAAATCATCAAAATGCTAGCAAAAAGCAGGAAAATGTTCGATAAGGGCCAGAATTAGCTAAATGCTAGCTAAGGGTCAAAAGTAGCTAAACACTAGCAAAAAAAAAAAAAAAGCTAGCTTAGAGCCATCCATCCATCCATTTTCTTTACCCGCTTATTCCATTTTGGGTCACGGGGGTCGCTGGTGCCCATGTCCAGCAATCACTGTGCGAGGGGCGGGGTACACCCTGGACAAGTCTCCAGTCCATCACAGGGACACATAGAGACAAATGAGACAAACAACCATTCACTCTCTCACTCACCTAGGGACAATTTAGAGTTACCAATCAGCCTAACATGCATGTTTTTGGTCTGTGGGAGGAAACCGGAGTACCCGGAGAAAACCCACGCATGCACGGAGAGAACATGCAAACTCCACCCAGAAAGGCCCCTGGACCGGGGTTTGAACCAGGGACCAGCTCGCTGAGGGGCAGCAGCTCTACCAGTTGCGCCACCGTGCTGCCCAGCTTAGAGCCAAAAGTAGCAAAATGTTAGGAAAAATACATGAAAGAGCTAGTGCTAGAAATAACAAAACGCTACTAAAAAAGTCAGACAAAAATAATTTAGAGGCAGAGGAATCAAAATACTGACAAAAAGCAGAAAAATGCTAGCTAAGAGCCAGAAGTAGCAGGACAAAGCTAGCTAGCTCACAGCTAAAGTAGCTAAACACCAGCAAAAAACAAGTTTAAGATAATTAGTCGGATGTAGACAAATGCTAGGAAAAAGCTGAAAAACTATCTAGGGGCTGAGATGGGGTAGATGTAGGGCAGCCGACCTGGGACCAGAAAGTCGTGGTTCAACTCCCAGCCATGCCCACATGTCGTGGTGTCTCTGAGCAAGACACCTAATCCCTAATTGCTCCCCGGGTGCTTACATAGCCTCAGGTGCGATGGCAGAGAATGAATTTTGGCATTGAATGGAAACATACAGTGATGACAATCTCAGACTTTCCTTCCCTTAAGCAGGAAGAAGCTTCAATGACTAAAAATTTGTGAAATTAGCTGAAATTAGCAAAAGAAAATTAGCTGAAAAGGCAAAAAGAAAAAAAAAAACGTGGCAGAAGATGGCAGAAAGAGCTTTTTTTTTTAATTAGGTTGCAATCTGAAAAGTATCTGAAAAAGCAGAAAAAAACTTTAATTAGCAGACGAAAGTGGAAAGAGTACATTTGCTGAATTTGGCTGAAAGAAGCTAAAATGAGCACAAAAAATGTGGAATTAGCTGAAAAAGTTAAAATTAGCATAAAAACAGCTAAACAGTTGCTGGGAAGGCAGAAATGGTTGAAATAAGCTGAAAGGAGGACGATAATAACAGAAAAAACATTTGAAATTAGCTGAAAGTTGCTAACGAAAGCTAAAATTATCACAAAGAAGCTGTAAAGACAGAACCAGAACAAAATGTGAAATGAGCAGTGAAAAACGGATCAAAGGATTTGAAGGATGTGACGTGAGCTCCATTAATTTTCACTGAGACAAAAATGTGTGAGAAAGCTAAATATTTCTAATCCAACTTTAATCGTCAAGCACGTTACACACCAACCACCAAGTGCTGTACAGAATCACATTCAAACACGGCTCATACTAATACAATAAAAACACAAGTGGAATAAACCAAGTAATAAAAAAACAGTAAAATGCATAAGATCTGATGAAACAATAAAACCTACAAAAATAAAAATCAGGTAAAAATCAATAAAAACAACCCTTTACAAAGTGTTAAAAGCCAAAAAACGCCTGTTTTGAGATGGAGGGGCAGCTCTTCCACAGACTGCTTAATAAATAAGCATTCACACAAACATTTGTTGTGTAACGTTTGAAATTGAGAGATCTAGAAGGTGTGTTTTAAATTTTATTAATTCGTGTGTTTCTGTATGCAATGTTTTATAAGAACCCATCAAAATTTACAAAGTTACATGTTCAGAATAAATTAAAATGACATTAAAATGAGCTCTCCTCAGATTTTGTTATGAAACTGTTGCATTACAGATTGAAGCTCTACAACAAGAAAACAACTCCCTGAAGAAACAAGCTCAGAAGTTAAAGGAGCAGTTCCAGCAGCAAAAGGTAAAATCTGGCCCTGCCTCTTACTTAAGAGTGCAGACACTTATTTCTCATTAGAGAATAAAAATCGTGAAGTTAGGAAGAAAACGTGCATGCAAAATTTAGATGGTTTTGTCACAAATGTTCCAGCTGGCTAAATGCTGATGGTGGTGTGGGAGGATGCATTTCAGAGCCACATGGCAGATTTAGTGAAGAATGCTCAAAGTGCTGGTTAACGTGCCTTGTTGGATGGAGCAGTGGTTATTTATGGCATTGACAAGCTGTCATGAAGAAGGCGGAGTTATTGGACACAGTGACAGAAATGTTGTCATCCATTATTTTTCATTTTAGGGCGCGTACTTTTATATAATCTCATCAAAAATTGACATTTGTCTTTGTCCATCAAATTAATGTACTTCTGGTGGTGAGCAATTGGGTATTTTCACAAAACGTCTTTCTCTCGCCGCTGCATTGAAATAAAAAAACTTTAGACAAAAAAATTGAGTCACACACTTTGACTGAAAATTATCTAAGAAAACAAGACGAGAGTATAGGAGGTTGTTCTCTTCCATTTATATTAGAAATAGGTGAACTGCGTTTAAACTTGTCCCTTATCCTACCTACAAGTTAATGATTGTTTTTTTTTTTAAATGTTTTTTTAATATAATTTTTGCGTATTTAAATAACTTAACATCGGTGTAATTTTGCACATGTAAAAAATTTACTTTTTTTTTTTTTAAATATACACTTTATTTTAAAGGCTCTGCTTTAAAAAAATCTTTTTGTTTCTGACATTTTTTTAGTTTTAAAAATGCTAATTCCTGTTTTTGGAACAAAACTTTAAAGAGTAAAAGCCCTAGAAATAAACTGTATTGATTAACATTTATTTAACCAGTCAAATCCCATTGAGATCACAGAACTCTCTTGCAAAGGAGGCCTGGGCCTGAAGGCAGCCTAACGTGCATGTTTTTGGACTGTGGGAGGAAACCCATGCATGCACAGAGAGAACATGCAAACTCCACACAGAAAGAGTCCAGGTCCAATCCCGGGATTGAACCCAGGACCTTCTTGTTGTGAGGCAACAATGCTAACCATTGAGCCGTCGTGCTGACATTTGATTGAGTGACTGATTGATTGACTTTAGCTAATAGAGTTTTAGTTCTATGTAAACCTTTCACCATGAAGCAAATGCTGATTTCACAGGTGATGGTTGAAGCCTACCGCCGGGACGCCAGCTCCAAAGACCAGCTCATTAATGAGCTTAAGTCCACCAAAAAGCGTCTGTTGGTGGAGGTGAAGGACCTAAAGCAGGAGCTTCTGGGCGCCCAGGGTGAGAAGCAGAAGGCTGAGCTGGAGCAGGCTCGCTTACAGAAGGAGGTCGCAAGAGTCCAGGAACAAATCTGTGACATGGAAGCCCATCTGCAAGTGATTCAGACAGAAAGGGATCAACTAGAAACCCAGATCCAGGTACTAGAAATTCACTGTTGGCTACCAAATATATTTTGCAAAACATTTCAACGGTAAAGGTAAAGAGAATTAAAACTCGTCTCGCAGTATTGGATCATGATGGAGAATGTGTGGTTTCCCTCTTTGCTCAGTCTCTGCAGTTCGATCAGAGCCAGCTAGCAGCAGTGACTCAAGAGAATGAGAGTCTGAGGAAACAGGTGGAGCAAATGGAGGGCGAAGCCAAAAAGTAAGTCATGTGATGCTGAGAGATTACAGAAGTTGGATAAAAAATTCCCACAGTGATGACGTGGACTGCGATGCATGTTTTAGTTGCTGTTCTAATTATAAATGCAAACACCGGACAGATTATACGACGTCTGATCTCATGGAAATATGAGTTAGTTCGTATGATTTAGTACATACATGTAAACACTTAGTGTTTTTGTATTCGCAATTTTATTGAATATGTTTTGCACATCAATAATCTTGTGCCCAGATTTGATGCTGTGAGCCAAGTTGATTTCTTATGTGCATCAAAACAGGGCCATTTCAGAACAGAAGGTCCGCATGAAGAGGCTGGGAACAGATTTGACCAGCGCTCAGAAGGAGATGAAAGCCAAACACAAAGCCTACGAGAATGCTGTCAGCATCTTGAGCAGAAGGCTTCAAGAGGCTCTGACTGACAAGGAGACAGCAGAGGCAGAGCTGCTTAAACTCAGGGCCCAGGTTTCAGATGGAGGAAACAGCCAAGCCTTACAGGTAACATGCACACCTGCAAACCTTCCCAGCTCTTAATACGTTTAGACACCCTCAATAACACTAAAGCAGGGGCTCGTTTTGTTTGAGTAAAATTAAAGCGTCTTAGACTGGTCTAAATGAAAACTGAAGATAGTATTTTTTCTGTAGTTAAAGAGCACGTCGGCATATGTGCCTTTAGATTTTAACATTGCAAGTATATTATATAATCTTTATGTAGAGTCATATTGTGGTTAAGAGGACATACTTTTTTACTTTTACAGCAATTCAATACAATTTAGATTATATAGCACCAAGTCATAACAGACATAACATCTCGGCACTGAACAAATACATTGATATACATAAAAATTCAATTTGTAACATAATTTGTTTAAGGTAGAGTAGCCTTGACCTCTGATAATGGACTTGTGTCTATACTGGTCCTGTTAGACCTCAGTGTTTCATTTGATACAGTTGATCATAATATTCTACTACAGAGACTTGAATATGATATTGGGATTAGAGGAACAGCTCTAAATTGGTTTAAATCTTATTTATCTGATAGATTCCAGTTTGTAAATGTAAATAGTGACTCTTCATACACTAAAGTTACTCATGGAGTTCGTCAGGGTTCAGTGCTTGGACCAACACTCTTTATATATTCTTCTATTTGGTAATGTTATTAAACAGCAAGCAGAACTGTCCAAGCTTACATTTCTCATTTATCTGAAACTGGTTGAAATACATCATAGTTTTATCTATTACACAGGAAAAAATAGAGTCTCTACAAGTTGAGCTGCTGGCTGTGACAAAAAGTAAGACGATGCTAGAAAAGGAGCTGCAGGAAGTGATCACCCTCACCTCCACGGAGCTTGAAGAGTATCAGGAGAAGGTCATGGAGCTTGAGGACGAGGTAAAACATTTAAATTGTCGGTCAGTTTGTAATTCGTTTTAATTGTATTGGTAATTTATCTTCTTTGTAAAACTGGACATAAGTTTTCTACTGTCTTTTCAGATTTACAGTACAGCCCTGAGAGTTGATGTGCTTTCACTTGTGGAACCCCCACACCCACACTTCATGCGTTTTTATATATATTTTGTTTACAGCTTCAAGAGTCACGCTGTTTCAAAAAGAGGATCAGGAAGTTAGAAGATGCCAATAAGAAGTTAGCTCTTGAGCTGGAGCATGAAAAGGGAAAACTGGCGGGGGTAACGCAGTCCCGGAATGCACTGCGAGAACACGCCAACATTTTGGAGTCGGCCCTAGCAAAGAGGGAGGCAGATCTTGTCCAGCTCAACTTGCAGGTGAAATACTGTACCTGCATCTACTTTAACCTAATGGGTACTTTTATCTGGTGAAAAAGTGATTAAAAAAAAAAAAAAACTACATTATTTTTTTCAGGTTCAAGCAGTTCTTAAACGTAAAGAGGAGGAGGATCAGCAAATGAAGCAGTTAGTTCAAACTCTACAGCTCGCTTTGGAGAAGGAGAAAACCAAAGTCAACGATCTGAAAGAACAGGTAGGAGCTCTGTGCTTTGAATCCTGTTTACTGAGGCTCCTGAAAGACCCTTTACACCTGAGAGTTAGGACGTCGTTTGAGTTGTAAATCTGTGGCACACAGATTCTGACACGAGTTATTGTGGTATTTTCTCACATTTCATTCTGACATACTTACAAAATGATGTCAAGCACATGCTGGCTCTTTCCAGTTCTTCTAAAATGAGCCAAGATATTTTACATGGCACATAACAAATCATCTGGATAATTAAAAACAAAAACAAATGTGAACTTTAATACCATATGTCTGTAAGTCTGACTGCAGTGATCATTTTTAAAATTCAGATTTGGAGCGCTGTTGTTTTAGGTTGTAATTAAGAGATGTGTCCTGCAGGTGGCAGCAGCCAAGGCTGAGGCAGCCCATAATAGACGGCACTACAGGGCAGCCATGCTGGAGCTGTCGGAGATCAAGAAGGACTTGCAGACCAAAGACGACCTTATTAAAGCTCTGCGGAGCGAAGCTCAAAAATTGCAGTGTGTAGATTTGTCAGATAAAATATTACTGTTCAGTGAAAATACCGATTTCATATTGCTTTTTTATTTATTTATTTTTTGTTTCACCTTTTTATTGTGTTTTTCTTCTTCAGGTCTCAGGAAGACCAGCACGCTCAGGATGTTTCCAGGTTCCAAGAGGAGCTTGCTGAGGCTCATGGTCAGCTCCAGATCCTCCAGAAACAACTTGATGAGGAACTAGCCAAGCAGCCTCTCACTAACCAAGAGGTACAGACTACTCACCAGACTCTGACATTTCTGATGGTGCTACATACACATTTAAACCTTAACAAACACGAGCTGTGGTCAGCCTCAGGTGCTATTAGGAATGTTTGTTGGACCTGTGTTTCAATATTATATATTATAATAATTGGCCACAATATTTTAGCTGTGCAACCTTTCAGTGCTTTAAAATCTGTTTTAGCCTCTCGGACACGTTCTTTGTGGTAGATCACATTCCTCTCGGCCGTCTTTATGTCTAATTCTGCTGACTCAGGTTGAAGACCTAAAGTGGGAGGTGGAGCAGAAGCAGAGGGAGGTTGAAGCTCAAAAGCAACAGCTGGAGATGATGGAGCAGTGTCACCACAGAGAGTTGGACAACTTACAGACAGCTCTGCAGGCAAGTTTTACTGTGTTCTTAAATATAAATACTATGAATTATAGTTGGCCACGGAGGAAATAACTGACCATTTTAACAATGCTGAATAACATTTGTTGAAGTGAACATTTGTTTGTTGGCAGTGAGTGATTAAATAACAACAATAAAACTTTTTGTGTCAGAACATAAAGGTGGAGCTGGAGTCGGTGCAGGAGGAGCTGAGCAGCTCCAGAAAGGACAAGTTTATGCTGCAGGCTAAAGTTGGTGAGCTGAGGAACAGCATGAAAACTGTTCTGCTGCAGAACCAGCAGCTCAAACAGGACCTGAAGCAGACTCGTCTGAGGAAGGTAAAGCACCTTTGGCTGCCTGTTGCTGTTATACCAAAATGTGAATAGTTTAATTGTGCGACCTAAGACTGACGTTGTAATAATGTTGTTGGAACGGCAGCGCATGGAACTGAAAAGTGAAGGGAACCCATCAAATCCTGTGACACCAGTCAAGATTCCAGACTGTCCTGTGCCTGCCTCATTGCTGGACGAGTTGCTGAAACCTTCAACTTCGGTCAACAAGGAACCCCTCAACAACCTGCACAACTGTCTACGGCAACTCAAGTAAGCTTATCGCCTTATCTGAAGAACTAATAAATTCTAATTAAGTTATGAACGTGCCAAAAATCGTTATTTAATATCTATTTTTAAATCTACTTTTTGTTTTTCAGGGAGGAGATGGACAGCCTTCAGAAGCAGATGGAGGAACACACAGTAACAGTACACGAATCAATGAACTCATGGACAAACACAGCAGAGGGACTGGCTCAACTGGGGCTCCAAAACAACATCTCCAATACACCACCAGTGGTAAACAACACTGTGGTGGAAAACAACAACGAATCAGAAGAGCAGCAATCATAACTGAAGGACTTATCTCAGGCCATCAGAGGAAAACGTGGAGTTTTATCCACAAAGGCACCTTTAAGCCCCATATTCTTTTTGTTTTTCTTCTTTTATAATTGCTGCCAACATTTGGCATTTCTCTCATCAGCACTTAGGTGCTTTTGCAGAATAATACTATATTATAGCTTTATTATTTTATTTTTGTTTTGTTTTTATTTGTTACGCTCCTGCCACCTTTATTTATTGAAGCCTCTCCAAGAGAATCAATCATCTTCAGCTTTGCTGTAAAAGTGGAGAAGTTGAAATGAATTCATCAAGCCAGTTCCCTAATAGGCTAGCTTCTACACTAAATTGTAGTCCGTCATCATCCTCGTGTTAATAAATCAGAGGCACAGATGCGACGACTTTGCTGACGGTAACAACAACCTGTTCTTCCATTTTGTTTGTGCCTGTTGTGATGCCACTCATCTATTTGACCAAAATGGGCATGGTTTCTAAATGGTTCATAACAAGCTGTATTACTTCTGTTCATGAAGACGTCATGCACAGTTATGCATAAAAACGTGTATTTCCTCTTATTAAAATGCAGTCTTTATGTTAAAACATTACATAATCATATCACCTTGGGTTTTAAACTGTAATCTTTGTTACATTTGTCTAGCATGGACTGCAGTAATCTGAATGCAAAAAGCCTTAAGCAGTCTTTGATATGCTGTCAAGAACTGAGTTGGTTTGGATGAGTGTTTTTCTGCTGAAGGTGTGTGCAAGTTGTAATATATTGTATGTGTGGGGAAATCCTTACTGAAGAACTGTTCAATGTAAGAGACAAACTCCAACTGACATTGCACATTAGATAAACAAAATTAAACTGACAAGCTGTAAGACGAAAAAAGTTACTTCTATTAACAAGAAGTGTATTGTGTTTTTTGTTGTTGTTGCGTTGGTACTGACTGTATTTACAAAAAGACCTTGAATTCATTGAGTCGCCACATGTTGAATTGTTTTTGGGGCTGTTGTGTTTTCAGATATTAATATATTAACACAGGTCTCTTTTCTATTATTGTAAATCAATCTTATTTGATATTGCAAAGGAGGTGAAATATGAGATTCCATGCAAACCAGATGTAATAAATCTGCGGACTGAGAGAATATCAGACATTTCTGCATGCACCTGTGCTGCAGCCCTTGCATTCCCAAACTAATTTTTGTCCCATTACCACTGTTTGCTTGTCAATTTTCAAAGGGGCAATAAATACAAAGAGATCTGTTTGAAAGTGAAATCAAAGAAAGTGAGTTAATTTTCTGTATGTTACATAAAATGCTTCTGCGTTGAATATATAAACTTGCATTACGCTTGTCTTTTTCTTCCTTTTCCAAAATTTAAACTATAATTCATTCCTGATTGATTGAACATTTATGTTGAGAAACGTGATTGTCATAAAATTTGCACTATTCGTTTATTATGTGTGTTCAATGTTCTCTATAGCACGAAGTATTGCAAAAGTCCTAATTTTCTACGTTATGTCCAGTGGTCTGCAACCTTTGTGATAAAAAGAGCCAGTTTTACCACTTTGTCCACTAATTGTGTGTCCGGAGCCACGAAACCTGCTACAACTGTGTACTGTCAACTGTGGCCCGTGGACCACTTGTTGGTTGGAGATGGCTTTTCTGGCCAGTGGGGGTGATGTTATAAAATGAATAATGTCAATCTATTATTAACATTTATTGATATTTTTACATTTTAATGCAAAAGAAAAAAACAAGTTCATGTAAAGAAAGAAAGAATACACAATTTTTAACAATTTTATAAAAATTAAAACACTGAACTCTGCAGGCCGATGTGAGTTCGCTTAATTGTTGAAGAATGAAGTTTCCTACTTAAAGCATAAAGTTAAAGACGGCATAAAATTAGTCCAGTTTGTTGAATATCCAGTTACATTTTTTAAGAAAAATAGTTTACTTTGACTTTATTGTGTTTTATACTTCGAGTCATCAAATATTCCTTCTCTGCAGCTTGTCTTAAAGATATCCCAAAACATTCTGGTGGTTTAGAGAGAGACACCAAGTCGACTTAAAAAAAAATCTTTATTGAAAAAGTACAAAACAGTACAATAAAATGCAGTATACAGTAATGATATAACAGACGCCAGTGGGTTACAAACACTGAGACAACAATTTACAATAACATATTACATAAATATATTGGAGAGCACATAAGGTGCAAGTTGTTATGGCCTTCGTGTTGGTGGAGTATTTAATAGTTTGACTGGAAGTCGACTCAAAGTGGCTAACAAACTACTAGCATGATGCAGTCCACGTTTTACTCGTTGTATTTGTACTATTCTTCACATATTTGGAAATGGCAAGACACGTGCTAGCCATTTTCACTGTTGGCAATAATTTAAATAAAATTCATTTTTATTTTAGTTTTGGTCAGAGCCTGAAGGAGCCGCTGCAGAGGTACCAAAGAGCCACATGTGGCCCCAGAGCCACAGATTGCAGACCCCTAGTTATGTCTAACAAAGTGAAGTCTGAAATAAATATATAATGTGTGTGTGTGTGTATATATATATATATATATATATATATTATATATAGGGTTAGGGTTAACATTCCTCCCTTTGATGCTGATGCCATTTTATTTTATATGGATAATTTAAGCTCAGCTTACTCTGATGCTATAAATATAGTCATCCTTATAGCAAAGTACCACATTCATTGTAGTAAGTGGAGGGATAATAAGTCCTCCTTCCCGTGTTTTATGAACAAATTCAAGTTGTACTATTCTTCAATAAGTAGATAAAAAAAACTGGAAAACTGCTAGAACCATTTCACAACAGATATAAAAAAAACTTGTTTTAAGTTTCTCATATTGTTTTGCTCCTTTTTTTTCTTATGTTTATTTTTTTCATTTAATGTTTTTTATATATGTATTTCTCAATTTTCATCATTTTGTAACCCCCCCCCAGCTTGTAAACTTTAGTTATGACACCCTTCACGAGTGTTTGTATATATCTTTCTCTTTTGTAGTGTTCTGTAGTTCTGTGTTTTTATTAATAATAAAAAAATGCATTAGGATTCTACTTTATGGTTGCACTTTTGTTCAGGCAGTGTACTGGACACATGGGGTCCTTGGTGAACATTTTGAATCCGTCGCGTCGCGGTGATGAGAACACAGCGTTGGCAGCCGGGGAGAGGAAGAGGTAGGTAATGATACAATTAAATGTATAAAATTAAGAAATCGTAAACTACATTTTACTTGTACGCTTATCTGTACAACAAGGGTAAAGGGACCGAGTTTTACAGTTTCTTTTGACTGTTCTGTGCCACTCGGTTGCCATGTTTTGACTAATAATAGAAATGGCGAAATAATTTTAACTCATTAAATTTGGCTCTCCACTTCCCCTTTAAATGTACGATGCTTCAAACTGTTCTTTTAAACAGTTTTAATGGTTATTATTTTATACTTTTACGTATTTTTAGTGAAAGGTGTTATAATTCACTTGTGGTTGCCATGTAGTTATGATCTAACAAGGTTGCCATGTCAGGTCCTCTGGATAGATTTTTCTTTGTTGAAATGTTTCCTCTTTTATCCAAAAGACTTCTTCAGTCTGAGACACTGCAGCACCTTCTCAGGGGTCAACCAGTTTGCTGCTGACAGCCAGTACCAGCTATACACATGCAAAAAAAGGACCATCCGTCATATAAATGATATCATCTTGTTAATCTGATGGTAAAAGACAAAACGACAAAAAATGTCAAATCATTTCATCTAGACCAGTTTCTTTAAGGGAGAAATGTTTCATCTTCCACCCGGAAGACATCATCAGTCTTTTAACACAGGCCCATCTGTCCAAAACAATCAATCATGTATAGCAATCGAATGTTTTAGGCCAGATGGCCGACTTGCTACTCACAGAAACAGCATGAGGACACCAAAGTTCTGCTTCTGAGATTCCAACAGGAAGTTGTCTTGAAACAGCAGTGAAGACCAGATATGGGACAGACCTGGTTGGCAGGCCATGGACTGACAAAGTCTTCCGGATGGAAGACGAAACGTTTCTCCCTTAAAGAAACTGGTGCAGATGACATGATTTAACCTGTTTTGTTGTTGTCTACCTGGATGATTGAGCCTACAAACCTTCTCTTAAAAGACAAAATATTTCAACTTAGAAGAATTCGTCCAGAGGACCTGACTTAACCTTGTAGATGTTTCTGCCTGAATTATGGGGCATTATTATCAGAACGCGAAGTGGTGAATTTTCCTACAGACATTGAATGCGTTGTGCGCCCTCCCTTAAAACTGAGCATGCGCATGACATGTTGTAAACAATGAGTCCAGACCGTCTTCAGCTTTGTGTCTGTTTAAGTTTATTTGTTCAGAACTAAATGTTTTTACCGACCCCTCGTTATATGTAGCGACATGTTTTTCGGTAAGTATCGTGGCACATGTGCAGGTACATGTCATCACGTGCGCTTGGATCTCTATCGGCATCATGACCACGTATCAGATTTGTTACGGTGATCCGAAAACCCATTTCGAATGACATACTTGGGCGTGACAGCATGCGGATAAAGAGCTGATATTATAACGACGTGCCCTGCTCGTTCGGGATTACATATTTGAGTTCGTCAGCCTCAATCTGTTAATCCATAACAACTAAAACTGTTAAACGGAAGCGGTTCCTGCTGTTAGCACGAGAAGCCCCCGGCTTCTCTAGCTTGACTGATGGTTAGCAAGCTAGCCGACACGAGCTAATACAACTTTTGTGTCGTCGTTTATGTTTTAGAAAATGCTGGACACAAATAGAAGCGTTTTATTTTGTGCAAAAGGGTCGTTTGTATTTTAAACTTCAAAGAATAATGAGTTTGAACGAGCTGCTGCGTGTGAATAATAAATGCAGCCTAAAATGAAATGATTGGCACGGAGTGTGTTTTTGATGGGGAAGACAACGTCGCTCATATTTTACAGCTTTTCACTGCTTATTAGTATACTGAAGGAGGAATTAATTATGAAACTCGTATAATATCTAAAGGATGTGAGGAAAGCTGTCAGAAATATTGACCTGTGTTTCACTTTTTAGTTTTTAATACTGGTGTGCGTTAATAATGCAAAAAGTGAAAACCTCCTGTTGCCTAGCAAAGATGAAATCTATATGTTTGTATGTAAATTATGTTCTTTAATATATAACACACGTGTTGAAGTCCTTTATGAACATCTGGCTGCATAGAGTATTTGATTAAGTAAAAAGAAATCTGAATATTATTTCTGATTGTTTAGTTATGAAACACTACAGAAATAAATGTTCGTTGTCTATTACATCGTGTTTGATGCATGAATGACTCCTGATCACATTTTTCAAGAGTCTGTTTTGTTAACAGGGAGCTGAAGCATGGAGGCGGTTCTGATCCGGCTGAAGGGACTAGGTGCTGCCGAGCTCTGTGAGGAATTCGCTCGAGCAGGCGTCAAGTGCGGCCCCATCACATCCACCACCCGAGCCACCTACGAGAGGAAGTTAGCTCGTGTCCTCGCTGAGCAAGAGGGCATTGCAGCTGAAACAGATGGCAACGATGCAACGCTGAGCCTTGAAACTGGAGTAGATCACTCCAAGCCTGTGTCAGGTGCCACCCCAGCAGTTGTCCCCGAGACTATCGCAGCATGCAGCAGTTCGTCTGAGAACAATGGCGAAGAGATGGACTTTGGGTACGGAGTGGGACTAAACCCACCAGAGGAAGAAGAGATCTCAGTAAGGTCAGCCTTTCACAGCTCTGCTGACTGCACTGACGCTCAGTACAAAACACAAACCCCTTCAAAGCCAGCACAAGTGTCCCCAACTTTTTTTTATGGAGTTTGTCCACCGTGGGAGGATGTCTTGTCCAGAAATGGTAAGAGAGACTCATGACATCACTTTTTTTTTTACTCACCCTAGCCAAACACATTTTATTTTGCTCTAAACTTTATATTTAAATTTTATAAACATTATACCATACCATACCACTTTATTTATAAAGCACTTAAAAGAGCAACAAGGCCAACCAAAGTGCTGTACAGACAAAACAACAGGTAACACACGAAGCAATATACAAAATGAAGTAAATAAAAAATATAGACATAAAAATGATGCAGATAATGACGACAAACCAGTGAAGTCACAATTATGAAGTCACACCAGTGGGATGATGTGCAACAACAGCTTTAATGTTATTTCTTCAGTCTTGAATAAATGTGATTGTTTTTTTTTTTTTTTGTTTGATTTATCTAACCTAACTTTTACCTTACTAGAGTCTAAAGTCCCCCAAACTTTATCTTGTTTACTTGTGAAATCAGCTGTTATTTAGCTTCTTTTATGAGTTCAAGCTTCTACCGTTTTTCTACTGTATATACATATATATATATATATATAT